GTGTGTCCCTGGGCGCCCTTCCATCGCCGAGCGCGTTCCACTACTCGCAAAGTGCCTGCTCGCAAGCGTCCGAAAAACCCGCGTTCGCCTCGATGCAATCTATCGTAGAACCCCCGCGGCGGATCCTGGCCATTTGCGAGCAGTGATTTTGCGAGTAGCGGAACGCGCTTGCCTAGTCCAAGGGAGTAGGGGAGCAAAAAATGTGGCATAAACATAAAAACTCGGAGGTCCGCGCTGATTTCTCGGATCCGCGCTGGACCCCCCTTCCTGACACGCGGAGCGCGCCAGGGGCGGCGCCGGAGGCGCCGCCGGGGAGCCCCATCGCCGATCCGAGAAATCCGCGCGGACCTCCGAGTTTTTATGTTTATGCCATTTTTTTCCCCTATATTCCAAGGGGAGGCTGGGGGACGAGGCGTGGCCCCGCGGCGCGCTGCCCCCCTGGCCCCCTCTGCTCCCAGGGGGGCCAGCGGCCGGGCCGACCCCCCGACGCAGGGCTCCTCCTCCTGCTGCTCCTCCTCCTCCTCCTCGTCCTCCTCCTCCTCTTTCTCTTCCTCCTCCTCCTCCTCCTCCTCCTCCTCCTCCTCCTCGTCCTCGTCGTCGTCCTCATCCTCCTCCTCCTCCTCGTCGTCGTCGTCCTCCTTCTCCTCGTCCTCGTCCTCGTCCTCCTCCTCGTCCTCGTCTTCGTCCTCGTCCTCCTCCTCCTCCTCCTCCTCCTCCTCCTCCTCCTCCACCACCACCACCTCCACCCCTCCGACGGGCGGCGCGCGGGCGCACGGCGCGCGCAGCGCGGCCATGGCGCGGGCGCCGGCCCGTGGCGAGGCCGAGCAGGTGGTCGCCCGTGCAGGGGCGGCCAAGTCCACGCGGAGGCTCGTTGCGCTCATGCTCGTACAGTTTTGGGCGCTGAAGAAGGAACCCTTTTCGTTGGGGAGGGGCTCCGTGCTCCTTGATTGCTTCACAGTTTGCCGTGGGTTTTCCTTTGGTTTTCGATGGGAGGTCGAAGTTCAACTTGTGGATAGGAGGGGCCTCGTTCCTTATTTAGGGTTCCTTGGGTCAACGCTCCGACGGTAGGGCTCAGAGGGCTCATAGGGCTCCGAGGGCCCATAAGCCCATAGGGCTCGTAGGGCCCATAGAGCTTACATGGCTCATGGGGCTTACAGGGCTCCGTAAGGCTCATAGGGCTCGTAGGGCACGGTCGGACCCTGCGAGTCGTGCAGGAATCACGATCGGCGTCACCCCAACATACAGGCGGCCCGGATTATTAGGTCGACCCTGCCAACTCGAGGGTGCCCTCGTGTCCTGTGTCCTGCGACCCATGCCTCGTGCAATTCTGTGGCAACGTGGCCCTCGGAAGGGTCTTGTGTCCTCTTGCGTGTCCTCTCCAATCGAGTCCGACTGTGCTAATACTATGTGTGCGTCGCCCCCCAGGGACGACGCGCGCACCGAGAAATCTTATAGTATATGCGTTATGGCGGGCGCTTTCTGGCCACACCGCTTGGGAAACGATCTACTACAAGATGGGTATACTATATGTTCGGGTCGGACGCGCGCCTCCAAAGAGGACGTAGTATTAGTATGTCTCTGTGCGTCCCACACGACGGAAGAGGTTTGTCGCTGTTTTCGGCCCCGGCGGGCCCCGACCGAGCCTCGGGGCCGTGAAAAGGTGGCTCAGGATGAAAGGCCGGTCCTGGGGAGTGGGTCGGGACCTTTGGCTTTCGACGTCATGAACAAGTCAAGACGTCTGGGATGGATGAGCATACAGTCGGACCGAGGTATAAGATCGAGGCCGGTTCGGGGAGGGTGCCCTAATGTTCTTCGTGTTTGTTGGATGTTTTTGTGCATCCTGGGGAGGGTTACGCTTAGACGTTCTGTGTGTTTTGGCCAGTGGAGGGTATCGCGTTCTTGAAGGATGTTTTTCTGTCCTAGGTCTGGCTGTACGGAGTGTTCGGTCTTCATTTTGGCTGACTACGTCTTGGCTTGGCCTCTCCTGACTCGTCCGCCAAGTCGTTTCGAACCTCGCTTGCTCCGACAGCAGTTGCACGTGTGCCTAGATATTCCATTGTATGTCAGCGAGCGGTGGCCCCAAGCAGCAACTTCTTGCACGGTGGATGTGCAAGCTACATGGTGTAAGCTGTATGGTACAAACTACGTGGTGTATGCTCTGTGGTACAAGCTATGTTGTGTAAGCTATGTGGTGCAAGCTGCAGGCTGTAAGCTCTGTGGCGTAATTCAGTGCTGCAATCTGCGTGGTTTAAGCTACTTGGTGTTCGGCAACGAGCGGCAACGAGGCTGCAACAACCGGGGACCAGCCCAAACCTCGACACCAACCCAGCGCACGAGGCGGCCACGAGGCGGCAACGAGCTGTCACCAACGGGACACCAGCCGAAATCTTGACGCACCTACCCAGCGCACGAGGCGTCAACGAGCAGGCAACGAGGCGGCACCAATCAGGCACAAGCCGAAACCCCAACACGCATCCAATTCGTCAGTCGCCCAAGTAAGGGACCCTACGTGCACGCACTGTTGGGTAACTCTCTCTCTCTCTCTATAGATATATGTGTTAGCCAGCGTGGCCACACAGTGTGTTTCTAGCAGTATCTGTTGTGAAATCTATGTGGAACAGTTTATATGGTTCAAACTATGTTGTGTAATATAGTTCGTGCAATGTGTGATGTGCAGTCTAGATTGTAAATATAAGTGGTGCAATTTTTGTGGATCAATCTATGTGGGGCATTCTAGCCGGCGCAAATGTAGGTGGTGCCAGACATTTCGTGCAGTCAGTGTCGTGCAATCGATGAGCTGCAAACTGTGTGGTGCAAGGTCTGTGGTGCAGAGTATGTGGTGCTACACGTGTGGTGCAATCAATGTGGTGTGATCGACGTGGTGCAATCTATATGGTCGATATTTGTCGACTAATATTTGTGGTGCAATAGATGTTTTGTAATCTATACTCTGCAATCTATGTGGTGCAATCCATGTGGTCCAATCGACGTGGTACAATATGTGTGGTGCAACATGTGGATGTACAGTTGATTTTGACAAACGAGTTGACACATCCCATGCTCTTGCAAATATCCCACCCACCAACCCGTAACTTGGTTTGCAAAACCCATGCGGTGGCGATTGCGATGCATGCTTGGCGTTGGCTGGTGCATCTCTGCGGCTGCGCCAACCCAAGCACGCGCGCGCAGCGGCCAGCTACTTTGGCACGACCGACGCGGCCGCGGTGGCGCTGACCGCTGGGCACATCCCAGCGGGTACTTGAGTGCGAGTCGGCGACTTGGGCTGGCGCGGTATCATGGCAACGCCGAGAACGGTAGACACGATGATGCTAGTAGCGATGCAGGTGACGATGTTGACAACGACGACGGCGCGGCCAGTGCGGGCGCCGATGATGATCACGCCGACGACGATGACGGCGTCCTCGCGTCGGTGATGAAGGTGTTGGGAAGAATTCGACATGCGCGCGCGGCCGACGCGCGAGTGGCCCACGTGGTTTAATTTGACACCGATCGTGCCCCCACCAGCACGCATGAGTCCGCCGGCACCCAGGAGTCCGCCGGCACTCACATGAGTCCGCCAGCAGTTTTTTGGGGGCCCCCTCCAAACAGGCCGGACCGGGCTCCTGTGGAAGGGCTGGGGAGGGACGACACCGCGGAGTAAGCTTGAAAGGGGTCGGCGAATGTCGAGTTTCGGCGGGGGTCCAGAGAACGCGGGCGGTTTTCGGAGGTCGGGACTTTCCTTCCGTGATCGGCTGGCCAGCCTGAGGGCGTCCCGGCCACAGTGGGGACGGGCTCTGCCGAGCTTGGGCCCCCCAGGGCTGCAAAACCCAGAGGAAGACGACCCGCGGCACGAGATCCATACGAACGATGGGGCCGAGCGCTCTGGAGTCCCATGGCGTGGGAAAAGCGCGACGTCGGATCCTCCTCCTCGTCGTCCTCCTCGTCCTCCTCCTCCTCCTGGCACCCCTCGGAGACTGCCTGGGAAGCTCCGGGGGCGCGCCGAGGGCCTCGGGAGGCGTGCGCGGTGCGTGCATGGGGGGTGGCGGGCGGCGGCCAGGAGCCCGCGTCCGGCCCAGGAACCAGCCAGCCAGGCCTCGAGGAGGAGGCAGCACAGAAGCCGTGATCGGCCGATGCTGTGCTGTTTGGCCCGTGCCTGGGCCTCGGGAAGCTCTGTTTGGTGGCCCCTGGGCCCCCCTCTTGGCCCCCCGCTCTCACTTCCGCTGCCCATGCTCACTGCGAAAGGTCAGTTGTTTGCGGCTCGAGAGCCTCTACGAAGCCGTCCGAGCCCGAGTCCCACGTCCGAGTCAGAATCTGAATCCGGGCCTGCCTCCGAATCCGAATCAAATCATGAGCGCGACTCAGAATCTGAGTACCATTTAGAATCCGATCCAGAATTCGGATTCCGAACCCGAATTTGTATCCGAACCCGAGCCTGTGTCCGATTCCGAACCGGAATTTGCACTGCAAGTATGTGTCCGAGTCAGGGGCAGAGTCCGAACCTGAGTCCGTATCCAAATTTGAAGTCGAGTCCGAGCTTGAATCCGACACTTAATCCGAATCCGAATCTTTCCCCGAATCCGAACCCGAATCCGAAACCGAAGTCGAATCAGCCCCGAACGCGAATGTGCATGCGAATCCGCAGCATAATCCGAACCCGAATCCGAACCCGGAATACGGGCTGGGTCCGATCCCCTGTCCGTGCTTGAATTTGGAATCTTAGTGAGAGTCACCATCCAAATCCGACTCGTACTTTGCGACAGGTCCGGCAGCCCCCATCATGAGAGCGAGGCTGGCGCTATCATGAGGCTTTGCTGGGGCATATGTCCAGTCCCTCGGAAGGCCCATCGTCGCCACAGCCAGAACTTGCTGGCACCAGGAGGGGTCTGGAAAACATTTGGAGTTGTTCTTGGCCAGCAGGAACGAAACATAAACTTTGATCACCCTGGCTACGCCTGTCATCCGTGAGACGTGGTTTCCATTGTCACATCGGCGTATGGCTCAGCTTTTTGCGAGCTCAGGTCTTCACCCGGGCTTTGTGGATTCGGAACTTCTTTTGCTGTAAGGTCTGACGCCGATGTTCTGGGGCATGTTCACTTCGAGTTCCAGTCAGGACAGTGCTAAAATGCAAGACGATGAGTTGGACTACAAATCAATTGATTCTAGCTCCGAGACTGAGCCAACAGAGGAGGCCCTCGCAGTGACAACCAGTGGCAGCAGTTCCACCGCAGTTTGTGCGACACCGACAGTGCCCGAATTCGATGTGACGAGTGCCCTGATGAACGCCCGCAATGACTCGAAGATGTTCATGCAACAATTGGCCTCCTCTTGCACAGACGCCTCTGGTTCAGATGAACTGCAGAACGCCGCTCTCTTTGTTAGACAGTCTTTGGCGAACTGCGACTCGTTGATGAAGCACCTCCCAGATGACAACACAGTTGCTCGCGAGGAGGTCGCGCGCATGGAGACGATGGTTGTCGAGTGGGTCCAGAGCTTTTGTACCAAGGCTAGAAGGCCAGAAAAGGTTATCCCGCCCGCCCTGCTTGCAGGAGGGAGGGGAAGGGAACGAGGAGAGAGGAGAAGGCTGGAGAAGGGGAGGGCGGGCTGGGTAGGCTTGTTCGCCCCACAGAGGCTAGCATTTGCTGGAACCTTTACTGCGTGTTTAGAGACCTGTTGTTGAAGATCGCTGCTGCCCATTGGGGATCTTCAAATAGCATCAAAAGGTACAGCCCCCAGCAGTTCGAAGCTGAAACGCTCCTCTTCTGCCGTATCGCCGACGAGCTGAGTCAGGTAAGCACCCCCGATCTGTCCCTCGCGACCCGATCTCAGAGTTTGGGCACCATCCGGAGAGAGCTTCTCTTGCAGAAGTCTTCGGGACAGATTACGGAGACGGCGCTCAAGGAGATTGAAGCTTGCGAGGAGCAGCGATTCAAGATGATTCGCAAGGAGAAGCAGTTGGAGGCCGCAGCCGAGGCCATGCGCGTGCGCGTCAGGGAGATTGACCGCGAGAGGAAGCGCATCGAGGAGGCGGCCAGCACCCTCCGAGGCGTCATGGCCAATCTGGAGAATAACGAACTCTGTATCCAAGAAAATCTCAGGAGCGAGGGCGATGTGGCCCGTGCGAAGCTGGTGGAAGCTCAGGCAGAGGCGCGTAAACAGCTTAAACTGTTGAGTGAACGAAAGCAGGCAACTCTGGACGACTACTCAGGGAGTTTCAGGCAGAAGCAGCGCTCCCACGACCAAATGGAGGTGCAGCTGGAGAATGACATGATGTCAACAGAATCTTCATTCGCTGGGAATCACGTTGTTTTCCTCATGGATGGAAGCCACAGCATGCATGGAGCCCGCTGGGCGGCAGCTCTCTCGGCATTGGATGCGTTTACGCTTGCGTGCACCGGTGCCGCGGACAGGATGAGCCTCATTACGTTCTCACACACGGCCAGATCGATCATGACCAACGCGCCTATTTCCAGCTACGTGCCGGGAAGCTTGGCCTTTCCTGGTGGTGGAACCTCGTACCATGCAGCTTGGTCAGAAGCCGCCGAGTGCATGAAGCTCACCAGCAACGGCATGAGAGTCATTACAGTCTTCATGACTGATGGTGAAGCGGACACGCGGCAGGCAGCTGCTATTGCTCAGCAGTTGCACAAGAGATATTGCTCTGGCCCAGAAGGTGGAGTGGCGATTCGGAGAGTTCAGATGAAGAGAGGTTCAATTCGGAATTCGGAAATCGGAGTTCAGAAGTCGGAATCGGAATTCGAAATTCAGATATCCGATCCCGTATTCCAGTTTCCGGGTGCAGCTTCGGGTCGGACATCCCAATTAAGATATTTGGATTCCGGTTTCCGGGTTTCCGATTTGACCTCCTAATTCAGATATCCAGATTCCTGGTTCTGGATTCCTGGTTCAGGTTCCAGATTGGACTTCCCAATATCCAGATTCCAGGTTCAGGATTCAGCTTCTGGATTGGACCTCCCTTTCCAGATATCTGGATTCCAGGTTCTGTGTTCTGGGTCAGAGTTCCGGATGGGACCTCCCAGTCCAGATAATCCGGATTACGGCTTCCACGTTTTGGGTTCATTTGACCTCCCAGTTCGGATATCGGGATTCTGGTTTCAGGGTTCGGGGTTCAGTTTCCAGATCGGATCTCCGAATCCATATTCGTCTTTTGGTTTCCGGTTTCAGCTTCTGGGTCGGACCTCCCAATTCAGACATCCGGATTCCGGTTTTTGGGTTCCGGATCGGATCTCCCAATTCAGACACATGGATTTTGGGTTCCGGGTTCAGGGTTTTGGATTGGCTTTCTCAGTCCAGATATCCCGGTTCCGGCTTCGGGTTCTGGGCTCGGCTTCAGGATTGGACCTCCCAATTCACATATTTGGAGTCGGGGTTTTGGGTTCCGGGGTCCAGATTGGACCACCCAGTCCAGATACGGGTTCCAGGTTCCGGTTTTCGGGCTCCGTTTCCAGACTGGACCTCTCAATCTGGATATCCAGATTCCAGTTTTTGGGTTTAGCTTCCGGGTTGGAGCTCAATTCCAGATTCCGGATTCCCGATTCAGCTTCCAGATAATCCAGATATCTGGATTCTGGGTTCCGGGTTCAGGGTTTTGGATTGGACCTCTCGAGAAATTAGAATTCCAGTTTTTGGGTTCGGGGTTCAGGTTCCAGATTGGACCTCGCAGTCCAGATCTACGGATTCCAGCCTCCAGGTTTTGGGTTCCGGATCCGGATTGGACCTCGCAGATCGGATATTTGGATTTCGGTTCCAGGTTCCTTGATCAGCTTCTGGATCGGACCTCATTTCAGATATTCGGATTTCGGCTTCCGTGTTCCCGGTTTTGGATTAGACCTCCCATTCCGAATTCCGGGTTCCAGGATCGGGTTGGACCTCCGAATCCAGATGTCCGTATTCCGGCTTCTGGGTTCTGGGCTCAGCTTTCTAGTTTCTGGGTTCCAGGTTTTTTCGGGTTCAGACTTCTTAATCCAAAAATCCAGTTCCATGTTTTTGAATCATGCTCCGGATTGAAATCCAGATATCCGGATTCCGGGTTCAGGGTTCACGTTGCACGTTCCAGATCGGACCTCCCCAAATCGAGATATCCGGATTCTGGGTTCCGGGTTCTGGTTTGAGCTTCCGGATTGGACTTCGCACTAGGTTTTGGGTTTTGGGTTCCGGATTGGACCTCCCAGTTCAGATATCCATATTTTTGTTTCCAGGTTTTGGGTTCAGCGTCGGGTTTGGACCTCCCAGTCCAGATATCCAGCCCCGCGGCGAATGCTCGCGCGGGGCGCCCGCTGGTACGCTAGCGTGCAGCGCGGGTATGTGATTGCTGGATCGAGCTGCGGCCCCACAGGGAGGCAGCTAGAGTTGCGCAGTGATGCAGCCGTGCTGAAAGTGCAGCTGGCCGCCGTGCTCTTTTCTGATCGGCGTTGAGCCTCCCAATTCTGATATCCAGATTCTAGTTTCCGGGTCTTCGATATCCGGGGGCGGGCGCCTGAGAAGGCCCAAGAACGCCCCAAGCGGGCCCAAGAGGGAGAGCTCGAACTGCACGCTCGAGCCCCCCGGCCCAAGAGGATCCCAGAGACCCGCACAAGGCGCCCCAAAGAGGCCCTCAAACGTGAGAGGCTTCAAAATTGTCTACAAGAGGTTGCCTCGAGGCTTGCCAAGAGACCCCCCAACAGCCATCCAAGAGGCAACCCAGGCGCGGTGGCAGGATGGGCCAGCCGTGCGCGTCCAGGCAGCACGCTGTTGCCCTCCGTCGTCTCCATCATCTCCTAACCCGAGGGGGCGAGGAACGAGGAACGCGGTTTTGAGCGTCGGGCCTTTTGCGTGGCCCGTCGCCCAGCGATGGGGCGGTCCATTCGTGGCCTGTCCCGTCGCCCGCGACACCTCGCCTCCTTCGCGAGACGTGGTCAAGTGGTGGTGCGTGGGGGGCGTCAACGGTTGCAACCGTGGTGTCCCGAGGCGCACCCCCCAGCCGCGAGACGCGGTCAAGGGGGGTGCCCAGGGGCGCCCTGGGTCGAAGCCGTGGTGTTCCGTGGAGCCCCCCCCCCCCCGGGCCGCGAGACGCCGTGGAAGGGGGTTCCCTGGGGCGACCAGTGTGGAAGCCGTGGTGCCCCGCCCGCCGCACGCCGCCCGCCCGCTCGCCTTGTCCTTCGATTCCTCTGCCTCTGTCTCCAACACAGCACCACGACACTCAACAGCTGCCCTCGGCATCGCCCGGACGCGTGCAATTTTTCTTGGCGAGGAGCATCGAGGAGCATCCTGGACCATCTCGCGAAACATGCACGCACGAGACCGCAACATGCACGGAGAGTGGACGTCCGAGCGATGGCGAGCTCCGTCTCCAACACAAGATCCACATAAGTACTCAACCGCCTTCCTCTCCAAGCACAGCGCACAGATATTCAGCAGCCTCCGTCTCCAACGTACCTTCCGGTGCTCAACAGGCCCGCGCTGCACGACACCATTCTCAGGAGTTGCATTAAAATCCCGATCCTGCCCGCTTCCCGCCCGCCCGCCCAGTCCTTGTACTCAGCTCCCTTTGTCTTCAACACATCACCCAGATAGTCAACAGCCTCCGTATCCAACACACCACCAAGATGCTCAATACCTTCCGTTTGCAACGCAACTCACAGGTACTCAACAACCTCCGTCTCCAACACACCATCCGATACTCAACTGCTCCCGTCTCCAACACAACATCTGGATACTCAACAGCCTCCATCTCCAACACACCACCTGGTACACAACAGGCCCCCGCTGCAAGACACCATCCTTAGAGGTTGCATTAGAAACCCGATCCTGCCCGCCCGCCCGCCCGCCCGCCCCGCCGCCCTCTCCTTGTACTCAACTCCCTCAGTCTCCAACGCAACACCCAGATACTCAGCAGCCTCCGTCTCCAACACAGAACCCAGATACTCAACACCTTCCTTCTCCAACACAATGCCAAGATACTCAACAGCCTCCGTCTCCAACACACCATCCGGGACTCAACAGGCCCGCGCTGCAAATGTGTTCTATTAGAATCCCGATCTCGCCTTCCGTCCACTGCCCGCCGCCCGCCCGCCAGCCCTCTCTTTTCTCTGTCTCCAACACAACACCCGGATACTCAACAGCTTCCGTCTTCAACGCAATGCCCAGACTCTGAACAGCCTCCGTCTCCAACACAACGCACAGATACTCAACAGCCTCCGTCTCCAACGCATCCTCTGGATATGTAACAGGTTCCGTCTCCAGCACACCATCAGGTACTCACCCCCACTGCAAGATACCATCCTTAGGAGTTGCATTAAAATCCCGATCCCAGCCCGTCGCCCGCCCGCCCCCCCGGCCGCCCTCTCCTTGTACTGAATTGCCTCTATGTCCAACGCAACACCCAGATACTCAGTGGCCTCCGTCTCCAACACAAAACCCAAGTACTCAACGCCTTCCGTCTAACATAACGCGAAGGTACTGAACAGCCTCCGTCTCCAACACGCCATCCGACACTCAACAAGCCTCCGTCTCCAACATGACACCTGGATGCTCAACAGTTTCCGTCTCCAACACGCCATCGGGGTGGTCAGCGGGCCCCCCTTGCAAGAGGAGTTGTATTGAAATCCCGATCCAAGCCCGCCCCCCGCCGACGGCCCGCCGCCTACCCGCCCTCTCCTTGAATTCAACTGCCTCCGCCTCCAACGCAGTAACTGGATACTCTACAGCCTCCGCCGCCCGCCCGCCGCCTGCCTCATCCTGTCTCCGACACAACGCCCAGTATTCAACTGCCTCCGTCCCCAGCACAACGCCCAGTACTCGACATCATCCCGCTGCAACAGATCATCTTTCGGGTTCTCTATGAGGATCCGGATCCGCCCGCCCGCCGACGGTTCGCCGCCCGCCGCCCGCCCGCCGTGCTTCCGTGATCAACACAACACCCAGTACTCAGCAGCATCCGCCTCCAACACAACAGCCGGTACTCAACAGCATCCGTGTCCAACACAACACGCGGAATTCAACAGCATCCCGCTGCAAGAGACAATCCTTCTAGGGGTTCTATCGAAACCCCGATCCGCCCGCCCGCCGCTCGCCGCCCGTCCACTGTGCTTCCGTGTTCAACACAACTCCGAGTATTCATCAGCATCCGTCTTCAACACAACACGCGGTACTCAACAGCCTCCGTCTCCAACACAACACTCAGTATTCAACAGCATCCCGTTGCAACAGAGAGTTCTTAGGAGTTGCATTACTATTCCAATCCGCCCGCCCGCCGCCAGCCCGCCGCCCGCCGCCTGCCCGCCGCCCGCTTTTGTGTTCATCACACCCCCCAGAACTCAACAGCATCCGCCTCCAACACAACACCCAGTACTCCACAGCCTCCGTCACCAGCACAACACCCAGTACTCAACAGCCTCAGCCTCCGACAGCACACTCAGTGCTCAACAGCATACTGCTGCAAGAGAGAATCCTTAGGAGTTGTATTGGGAATCCGATCCGCCCGCTCGCCGCCAGCCCGCTGCCCGTCGCCCGCCCGCCGTGCCTCTGTGTTCAGCACAACACCCAGTACTCAACAGCATCCGCCTCCAACACAGCACTCCGTACCGAACAGCCTCCGTCTGCAACACAACGCTCAGTATTCAACTGCATCCCGCTGCAAAAGAGAGTCCTGAAGAGTTCTTCTGCAATCCGGATCCGCCCGCCCGCCTCTCGCCGCCCGCCGCCCGCCCGCCGTGCTCCCGTCTCCAACACAGCACCCAGTAGTCAACGGCCTCCGTTTCAAACGAGAGAATCCTGGGGATTTCCATTGAATTCCGATCCGCCAGCCCGTCGCCCGCCCGCCGCCTGCCCGTCGTGCTTCCGCGTTCAACACAACACCCAGTACTCAACAGCATCCGTGTCCAACACAGCACCCAGTACTCAACAGCTTCCGTCTCCAACACAGCACCCATTATTCGGCAGCATCTCTCTGCAAGAGTGAATTCTGAGGGTTTCTAGCACAAATCCCGATCCGCCCGTCCGCCGCCGGCCCGCCGCCCGCCGCGCGTCCGCCGTGCTTCCGTGTTCAACAAAACACCCAGTATTCAGCATCATCCGTCTCCATCACATTACCCAGTACTTAACAGCATCTGTCTCCAACACAACACCCAGCACTCAACACCATCTTGCTTCAAGAGAGAATCCATAGGAGCTCTTTCAACATCCTGGTCCGGTGGCCTGCCGCCCGCCGCCCTCCCGCCGTGCTTCCGTGTTCAACGCAACACCCAGTTTTCAACATCATCCGTCTTCAGCACAACACCCAGTATCCAACAGCCTTATACAGTTTTCGTGTCCAACATCACACCCAGTACTCGACAGCATCCCGCTGCAAGAGAGAATCCTGAGGGTTTCTAGTAAAATCACGATCTGCCCGATCGCCGCCGGCCCGCTCCACAGCCGCCCGCCTCTCGTCCGCCGTGCTACGGTGTTCAACACAACACCCGCTGTTCTTCCGTGTTCAATGCAATACTTAGTACTCAACAGCATCTGTGTTCAACACAACATTTAATAGGGGTTCTGGGAGGGGAAGTCCCCCAACCCTGTTTACTTTCCTCGAACAACCGTTCTTGATCAAATGTTCTAGAGGGGAAGATTCATCAACGCCCTTAACCCCCAACCCCCCCGATGAGGAGGGGTTCCAGCAGGGAAAACCCACCAACCCCCTCGAACCCCCAACAATTTGTTTCTGAAGGGAGGTTCTTGGGGCGGTTTCCCAATCCACATTTTCGGGATCTGGGATCCAAGTTCCAGGTTCAGCCTCTCCAGCGGGACTCTTCGGATCACCTCATTTGAAGGCGGGTTCATTACTTTCGTCGTTTCCCTTGGGGATGACTTCGACAGGAAGATCCTCGAGCCAATCGTGCTTGCTGGAAATGGTTGCCAGTCAACCTACACCTTCTGCGACGAGAAGGTGGCACTGCAGGTGCACGCCTCGACCAGCACACTTGCCCGAGAGTTCAAGAAGCTCGCCGAGCATGTGTCCCGACGTGAATCGTGGATCAAGAGCCGGCTGGATTTCGTTTCTTCTCAGCGGGAATCGCATCGGGACCAACACCAGATAATTCTGGATCACCTCGACCGTATGTACGAGAGATTCGCCCAGAGCAGCGAGCAGGTCCAGAAAAGCATCAAGGATGGGCTGGAGGCAGACTCAGAGGACATGGTTCGCTTGATGAAGAATCAGCTGAACACGGTGCGCGAGGACAAGTTCGAAGTGCAGAACCGGTTGGACGATCTCATGAGCTTGAAGGAAAAACTCGCAGCTGAAAAAGCCAACCTGCAGGACGAGAAGATCGCAACGATCGAACAGGATTTGGAGGAGGCCAGGGAGAATCGACAGAGATTGATCAGAGTGTTCAACGAGAGTGAGGCCCTTGAAATAGATAAGATAGAAAAGAAATTGCATACAGAGCAATCGCTACTGCAATCGATGGGATTCTTACTGGAGGGCGATGCAGCGAAAGTCGTGGAGGCTGTCGACGGGTTCCGCAATCTCCAGCGCAGCATTACGATTGGCGCTTCAGACGCGAATGCCACCTGCAACAACATCGCGCGAATGGCGCGTACAACCGCTGACACCCTTCAGAGACCAGTGCGCCTGGAACTGCAGGATGACTCCAAGGCCGACTTCGTCTTCGAGTTCTATAAACACTTTGTTGGATTGGACATCAGATTGCCTATGCGCAATGTAGAGAATTTCAGGGTCATTGTGAAGCACATCGCGAAGCAGGGGGGCACGGATATAGATCGTCGTGTCGTTGACCGATTGACGTCAACATTCGAGTGTCGCGAACTGTTTGTCGGTGACGACGAGGGCGTCGAGGCTCTGCAGGAAAGGAGTAAGGCGAAGCTCAAGACGGCAATTTTGAGCAAGGAACCCAGGGGCCGTAAGCTTACCGAGGCGATTCGGAAACACGACGTTAAGAAGAAGCAGCTTCAAGACGAGTTGGATCGCGTTGAGGACAGGATTACGGAATGCAAATCTGCCAAGAAGCGAGACGACAAAGCGTTGAGCTCGCTTGAAAGGGAGCGAGAGAAACTGGAAGGTAAGATTGATTCGGAGAAGCAGATGAAGGTCGACAAGGAGCAGGAGCGCGACGAGTTTCTCGCGGACTACCATCTTGATTTCCTCGTGCTCAAGAGGCTCACAGAAGACCTGAATCAAGCTTTCAACCAGCAGATGGCTCGGGAGGAAAACTTTGCCGTGTGCGTCAATCTTGCAACAGCTGTCAAAAACGTCATGGAGCCCATGAAAGGTGTCATCAAGGCAGCGTCAGACTGCAGGCAGGCAGTGCACGGCGAGAACAATCCTGCATCGCGCAGGATCCAGCTGGGCGCTACTGTGAAGCAGGGCATGCTGCCAAATGCTCTCGCTGACGACGTTCCAGTCCAGTTGCGCTGCCGCGTTTAACTATCCGCCACCGTTCTTACACGTGTGCTTAGTTTCCAGGAACCTGAAGCCGTTCGGGTGCGCCACCCCTGTCTTGGGTATCCTGGGACCGTCGTGTGCCTGCACTGGACCGTGTTGGGGACGACCTTGGCCATGGTCCGCGCGATGCCTCTTGCGACTTTTTGCTGACCTTGGTGCTTCTTGGGGGCTTTTTGGGGCTATTGGGGCCGTCTGGGGGCGTGTTGGGGCCAGGGCCGTTGCGCTCGCTTCGCCCCAGTCCCTCTTCGCCGGGGCTCGCTTCAACGAGGCTCATTTCCCCAGGCTCGCTGTGCTCGTCTCGCTTTGCTGGGGCTCGCTTCACCAGGGCTCGCATTGCTGGGGCTCGCTTCGCTGGGGTCTCGCCTCTATGGGGCTTGCGGACCCTCGTCGGGTGGGCGGGCTCTGACGGGCGGATCGAGCGAGCGGACCTTGGCGGGCGGGTCGGGCGGGCGGACCGGGACATTAGCAAAGCGGGCTGGCGGGTTTCGAGCAAGCGAGCGGGCGAAGCCCAATGGGCGGGCCGGGCGGGCGTGCTCTAACGGGCGGATCGGGGCGGGCGGGCCCTCATGAGCGGGTCGGGCGGGCAGGGCAGTGGTGCAGCGGTCGGGCGAAGCGGGCCAGGCGCAGCGAGCTGGACAAAGCGAGGCCCATAGGCGAAGCGAGTTGGGCGAGGGGAGCTGGGCGAAGCGAGCAGGTTGAAGTTAGCCTGGCGAAGCGAGCCTGGGCTAAGCGAGATCCTGGCGAAGCGAGACTACTCGGCTAGTGGGGGGTTCCCGAGCCCGTCTCGGAGGGCACCCATGTGGTCAGGGAGGTTTCTTGGGGCCATCCCGGGCCGGTCTTTGCTTCAATGGGGGTCCGTCTTGGCCTAGTCTTGAGCCGTCGCGGGGCCGTTCTGGCTGGGACTCGGGCCGTCTTGGGGTTCGTTTCGGGGATGTCTGGGGAACTTCCTTGACCGCCAGGGCGCCGTCGGCAGCGGCGCCACGACGGTCTGAAGGCATCGGAGGCCATCTTGAGACCCTCGTGGTGTCAAAGCGGAAACTTACAGACAACACGTTTTTCGATGGCTTTTGATTCCCAGTGGCCTCCTGGAGGGCTCCTTGAGGGCTGCAGGGATGCCTTGACGAGGTGTTGGGGCTTGCTTGCCCCGTCTTTCGGGTGTCGGCAGTCTTGGGGTATTCTGAAGCAGTCTGCAGCTGTGGCGTTACATGTTCCCGGCCGTAGGCCGTGTTGGTCCCTTCTTGGAGCGGTCTGATGGGTCGTTGGAGCCCCCCCCGAGCGTATTGGTGAGCCTCCACGGTCTCTGGGGGAATACCGACGGCGTTGTTGTAAGTTTAGCATTTGTCCCAGCCCGTTGGGTCTTCGTTCTGAATAGAGCACAGCTTTCCTTCTTCTCATCTCTCGTTCCGCCTCCTACCTCCTTTCCGCCTCCTATCTCATCTACTTCCTCTCACCTCCTGCCTGCCTCCTGCCTCCTGCCTGCCTCTTTGGTGCCTCCTACCTCGCCTCCCTGGGTGCTGCCGATTGTGCAACTGTCGTTACTTGCGTGAGTTCCTGGGACGTCCAGCGGAGTGCGGGGCTGCGCGGATCCCAATCATTACCCTCCCCCCTGGGTGCTGCCAACTGCGCAACAGGCACCATTCTCGAGAGCTCCGGGGAGGCCCTGCGGAGTGCAGTGCTGCACGGATCCAAGTTCTCACCATCTTCCTTGGGTGTTGCCAATTGCGCAACGGTCGCCTCTTGCGTAAACTCGTGGGAGGTGGAGCGCGGAGTTACGCGGATCCAAATGATGACCCGCCTCCGTGGGTGCTGCCCATTGCGCAGCAGGCGCCACCCTCGTGGGTTCCTGGGAGGTCCAACGGACGGTGGTGCTACGCGGGTCCAAATGTCGGAGCGCGCCTTATGACCGCCACCGTCGCGATCACGAAGCATCCACACCATCCCTCTCTGCAGTCGGTCATCGGCGTCACCAACACATGCTTATACTATGTGTTCGTCGCCCCCCTCCAGGGGCGACGCGCGCACCGAGAAATCTTATAGTATATGCGTCGTGGCGGGCGCTTTCTGGCCACACCGCTCGGGAAATGATATACTGCAAGATGGGTATACTATATGTTCGGGTCGGACGCGCGCCTCCAAGGCGGACGTATAGTATTAGTATGTCTCTGTGCGTCCCAGGTCACCTCCGGAGAACGAGTTGCCACCTACTGTGAACTGGGCGGCTGAGGGCCGCCCCAATGTGGGCCAAGATGGTTTAGAACAGCTCGCAAGAGGCCCGCAAACTGCCCCCCAATGTACCCAACTCGCTCAAACACTGAATGGGCTTCCATGCTTTGTAGCTTTCTCGCCTTTTCGCTTCGTATGCGCCCCTAAGGCTTCGATCTGGCTTCCACATCGCCCCACATAGCCCCAAGTGGAGCCCAGACGCGCTCCAAGAGGGCATCGAAGACCCACAGGAGGGCCCAGGTGGCACTCGGCCTGGCGCAGTCCTCGACTCGCCCCCACGGTCGACTGGAGGCGCCTCGCTGGGCGCTTAGCTTCGGGTGGCGGGGCAGTGGCCCGCGGGCGCCCGTGTGCCGTTTTTGTTTTTTTAGTTTGCTCCCTCCTCCTCCTCCTCCCTCCTCCTCCTTCTCCTCCTCCTCCTCCTCCTCCT